TTACACATTTAAATACTGATTTGTATCCTAGGTGATTTCATAAGATTTTTGTCTTTTAGTTCTACCTCATAAACATAGCAGAAAAACTGCACAATAAAGCTCTTTCTTACAGGCTGTCCTTGTGTGATCAATGGAACAAGATATGAAGTGAACGATCCCGTGGGGCAAATAAAGGATGGTGACATATGTACAATATATGTGTGTGGAGAAAATGGATCTCTAGTTCCTGTAATTATTCCTTGTCCAACAACTGTTCCTACAGTCTCTTCAACCTCCTTTAGTACCCCTACTGCCACAGGTAAGCACTTAACAGAGATATGTATCAAATAGTTATCCTCTTTAAGAAAAATATCTGGAAGATACAGTGCTCAATGTGTTGGCTTTTTGCAATTAAAACACCTAGAAGTGATGCTTATGAAGTTTTATTACACTGCACTAAGAAGATTTGAAATACTTTGTAATGATTTATTCCTCATAAATGAAATCATATCTATAAAGGTACAGGATGCCTTAATAATTCTAAATAAGTTTGTATTGCAGTATCTTCCTGCGATCATAAAGCAAATATTGTGGTTTATTACATTAATAGCAATTTTAAAAGTGTCTCAGCAAAAAAAAAGTATAAATGGAATATTTAAAACTGTCTTTTTTTTTTCTAAAACTTGCAGATGATAGTGATAGACATATGACAAACTTGCACTAATACTTTTCTTTCCATTTCAGTTACCACTAGAAGCACTCCAGGAACTATAAGTAAGTTTTAAATATAAAAAACAAATACTGTAAAATGATAGACATATGATAAACTTGCACTAATACTTTTCTTTACATTTCAGTTACCACTAGAAGCACTCCAGGAACTACAAGTAAGTTTTAAACATAAAAAAAAAAATACTGTAAAATGTCAAAGGAACATTTAAAGGAAGCATAAGTCAGTCTCCTACAAAGAAAACTATTTTAAAACCTAACATAGGAAAATGTGATAAGGAATGAGAGAAGAAAGACTTCTGAAGACTTTTATATCTTGGTTATTTGATGTTGATGTGAAGCTTCCATTTGAAGTATCGGGTAATACTGAACCACTTAAATTGTTTTCTCTTGCAAAAACAACATACTGCAGTGCCTTACATTAGTCTCTAATGAAGAAGAATAAAAATATAACCTTCTCAAAACATCATTTGCAAGCCCAGGTGCTGAACCTCCCCATCTTCTCTTGCAGCTCCATGCTTTGGATTGATTTGTAGCTGGACTGAGTGGTATGATGTTAGTAGACCTGAAGAAGATGGTGGTGACTATGAAACCTATGAGGCTATAAGACATAAATATGGAAATGTAATATGTGAAGCTCCTGAAAAAATTGAATGCAGGGCTAAAAATAGTCCAAATGTAAGCTTAGATGAACTTGGCCAGAAGGTGGAGTGTAATGTTACATATGGACTAATCTGTAAAAATGAGGAGCAAACTGGTATCTGGCCTCTTTGCTATAATTATGAAATCAGGGTAAATTGCTGTGAGTGGCATGAAGTTCCATGTGTGACTACACAGAGTCCAACACCGACTGCAACTTTCACTACCACCAGTACAACAGTTTTGACCATCACCACAACCCGGCAGCCAACGGTGATAACTACCACACTCAAGCCCACCCCAAGCAAGCCCACATCACCACCTACTGCCCCAATAACTTCAACCACCACAGGTATTTAATGAATCTGTACTCTCTGCTCTTGCCTTAACACAGAAGAAATAAAGTGTTTTCAGCACATGAAGGCATGTCATGTCTAAGGCATATATTGAGCTGCTAGGAAATGTAACTTCTACTGATGTAGAACTCCATCCTTCTGCTAGAGGAAATTCAGAGGGACCAACCTGTGAGATGGGAGTTATCCTGAATTTGTGCAAATGTCATTGCTTAGGTACAGCAGTGCAAAACTGAATCTTTCTCTTCCTGCATTCCTTCCTTATCACTGTGGACACTTCTCTGCAGTACTGGATCTAGGAAGGAAAGTTTCCTTGCTAGGGCTCACAGAAGGGTCCACAATTGTGAACTGTGATCCTAGGTTGTTAAGAACCACTAGTATTTTCATGACAATGTTGTTATGCCTGACAAGGCAGGTGATGCTAAACTGTCTTCTTCATGCCCTATTGCTCAGTGTCTATTTTAGATTTATTCAGAACTCTATCACAGCAATTACCCAACACTCCTAAAGAGAAAGAAGCAGCTAAATCTGTGCAATAATATGACGCTGATCCTCTTTCGAGAGGATCATGCAAGAGAGCTTGGCAGCAGCCAGGATATATAGACTGCTGTAGGTGTATGGCAGTGTACTGATGAGGCCCCTGTTCACAGGCATACTTTCACGGGACAGAAATATAGTGCTCAACCCATGTGCGACCCTCAGTTCTGCTTTCACCCTTTCCAGTTGTTCCTGTTACCCCAACCTGGATACTCAGCACGACCTCACCAACACCCACCACCTTGCTGACATCT